AAAAGCAATAAAACAACAGCTTCTATGAAGTATGAGCTACATGTAATAAACACTATACCAAAAATCTCATTTTTCATCATATCAACATCTTCATTTAATTACAAATTTTCTCCCTGGAATAATGCAAAAAAAAAAGATTAGCTTTTGAAATATGCTTATATTAATTCAGCATTAATGTCCACTATAATGATCAGGAGCATAACTTAAAGCAAGAGTGGGAAATATTTACTCAATTAAGAAATATGAATCAGAAAAAGTCAATAATGGACCACATGGAATAAAAAAAGCAAGTAATTCTGGTTGGAGACATTGGGAGGGGGCGCAAAGTTAAACTAAATTGATATAAAAAACAAAAACAGAAGACATAAATATTTAGACACTGGTGTCACACTATAGTTTGAGGGCACAGTTAAGGAAGACAGATGAAGGGCTACCTGAAGATAGTGAAAAAGAAGAGAAATAAGAACAGGAAAGGGAAATGACAAGAGAGAAATGTTTAAACAAAGAAACAGCACAACACAAAGAAGTAGAAAAATATATGAAAAAGGCCCAGGAGATTTTTTTTTTTTTTTTAAGAGGGAGAAAAAGAGAGCAGGGGGAGAGGGAGAGAGAGAATGAGAATCTCAAGCAGGCTCCACGCCCAGCACAGAGGGGTCTCACAACCCTGAAATCATGACCCGAGCTAAAATCAAGAGTTGGACATTCAACTCACAGAGCCACCCAGGCGCCCCAGGCCCAGATTATAAAAATACAGGTCAAATACTCTTGTTATACCCTGGTCTTTACTTGCTAGGGATGTGAAAATGTTACCATGTCCTTAGGTATTACCTGTGGTCTTGCTTCACCTTGTTTCTTTCCATCTCTGTTTTCCCTATAGCCTACTTTCTCAATTCTTATTTTTCATCTTATTGCATGGCATATGGACCACATTTGTAAACTATTTTTCCTTTTTGGAAATAAGATGGATATAAACAATACTTCTTATAACTTCCTAATAAACTGTGAAATAGCTAATTAGTATTCGCGGCACAGTATTACACCGTTCAAATCTAAAACAGGAGTTTTTAACTTGCTGTCTCTGAACTCCTTTGATAATGTGTTCAAAATTTTGTGCATGTGTAATTTTTTGTGACTTCTTAAGCTTTTGTCAGTGGCTTTATTGTGAATGGAACTGGCAACATAGTTAACTGTTAGGAAAATCATTATTTGGGCTACAACACAAGTAAAAGAGCTAACACTTACTAAGCACTTCTCACACAATAATTTCTAGGTTTTCTTCTGCTGTATCCGTGGACTTTAAAACTGCACATTTTGGGGGCGCCTGGATGGCTCAGTCAGTTAAGCATCTGCCTTCGGCTCAGGTCATGATCTCAGGGTCCTGGGATCAAGCCCAGCGTCGGGCTCTCTTCTCAGCGGGGAGTCTGCTTCTCCCTCTGCCCCCCGCCCCCATTCTCTCTCTCTGTCTCTCAGATAAATAAAATCTTAAAAAAAAAAATAAAACTGCACACTCTGGAGCAGGGCTGGATTAAGGCCAACTAATGCCCTCAACACAGCCTAACAGTGATGCCCCATCACCCATCCATTGCTTAAAATAAAGAGCTTAAGGGTTCTTTGCACAAATCAGCGTATGACTTCAATGCCAGCTGGTTTTGCTCTCTACAGAAGTGAAACACACCATAAATCAGAAACAAATTTAGTATCTTGAGGACACTTTCAAATCAAACCTGAGTCATTCACAGATTACAATCTGTCACTGTACTAATCAAGTTTATCCTATATAAAGTTTTTTTTTTTTTTTAAGATTTTATTTATTTATTTGTCAGACAGAAAGAGAGCGAGGTGCAAGCAGAGGGAGAAGCAGGCTCCCGGCTGAGGAAGGAGCCCAATACGGAACGTGATCCCAGGACCTGGGGATCATGACCTGAGCCGAAGGCAGATGCTTAACTGACTGAGCCACCCAGGCGTCCCAAAATGAATTCTATTTACCAGAAATAGACTGTTATATATCTAGGACTCTAGGGCCATTGGAATAGAGCAGATGTTCTCAAAGAAAGCAGTACTCCCCTCCTGGGGATGATTCTGAAAATTGGTGATAGTTCTTTTTGGTTGTCACTATGATGGGGAGATCCTGTTGCTGGCATATAACAGAGGGACACAAGATGCCAGATATATCTGCAGGGCCATTTCACCCAACAAAACTATCTACCTGGTAATCCTACTACACTTCCCTAGTCCTTTTATATTTTCTCATTTTCCAAGATAACTATTTCATATACCTTTCCCGTTCTTAATCCTCTAGCACCTTACCCTGCCATAGCTCATAACCTTGCTAAGAAAACCTTCACTAAGAAAATAAAGGCAATCAATGAAGAAATTGCTCCCTTCTCACCAAATCTTCTACTCCATGTGTTTCTGTACCCATATGTTGTACTTTCTCTCTACAGTAGATGAACTCTTTTATCCAAGGCCAATTCTACTTCTCTGCTGGATTCTATGTTTCAGCCTACCTTAGGAACTTTATTTCTTCTACTCTCTGTCTTGAATTATCATATGCTGTTTTATCTCTTATTCTAAAAAACAAAACTCTCCCTTGACATTTCATCTCCCTCATTTCTTTACATCAAAAGAGTTGCCTGTTTTTGGTGTTTCCTTTTCTTCTCCTATTCTCTGCTGATCACACTCTAACCAGGCTTTACCCTATTACCCTGAAGCCATTCTCATAAATGTCATCAATAGCTTGCATAATACCAAATACATCAATTATTAATCCTCACTTTATTTAGCAACATTTAATCTCTCTTTTCTGAAACATGTCATATATTACGTTTTCCTTATTTTTTCTATCTCACTGTTTAAATCTTACAGTTAGCTTTATTGGAGCCTCACTTCTTGCATGCTAAAAATAATTTAGCCTTACTAGTAAATTAGGCTTAATTTGGGGGCTGCTTTTTTCGACCTCCACTAATTCCCTGGACTTAATCCAGCATTATGGCTTTAGCAATGATCTATATGCTGATACCTAAATTTATAACTTCAGCCTCATTAACCCAGTCATTCGTTTGTCATCCTCACTTGGACATCTAATAGAAATCTCAAATGTAATATATCTAAAGTCAATCTTTTGAACTCTCCATGCTTCCAAATCTGTTCATCTCCTAGTATTCCCCAACTGAGTAAAAGCCCAACTACTCTTGCCAAAATCTTTGGAGTCTTCCTTGACTACTTCACTCAAGACCTACATTAAATCCTGTTGGCTCTATCTTCAAAATATATCCAGAATGGAACTATTCTCAACACTTCCACATCTATCCTCCTGCCTACCCCAAATCATCTCTTGCCTGGATTATTACAAGTAGCCTCCTGGATAGTCTCTGCTCTTATTCCTTTGTCATTCATTCTTCCTAAAACAGCCAGAGTGATCCTTTAAAAACATAAATCAGATAAATGTCATTTCCCTAAGCAGAATCTTCCAATGCCTTCCCATCACACTTCAAAAAAAATCCAAAGTTCTTATAGGAGTTACAACACTGCTAGAGCACCCCCAGCCCCACCTTACAACCCAACACCTAGCATCATCTCTTATCTCCTAGTCCTTTCCCTCTTGTTTATACCAAACCATCAGTACCCCTCCTAGCTGTTTTTTGTACATACCAGGCAGGCTACCACCCCAGGACTTTAGTACCTGTTGTTCGCTTTCCTCCAGTGCTCTTCCTTTAGCTATTGGGATAGCTTGCTTCCTTACTTCCTACAAGACTCTGATCAAATGTCACCTTCTTGAGACACCTTCCCTGACCACCCTATCTAAAACAGTACCCCCATCACACGGCATGCTCTTACATATTTCCACCTAGCATTAGAGCATATGTCTATTACTGATGGTCTCCCAACTAAAATGTAAGCTCTGTTCGGACAGGGTCTTAGTCATTTTTGTTTATTTCTATGATTCCAGTGCCTGGTGTATAGCAGATGCTCAATAAATAATGAAATGGCTGAAAATGATAAAAAATAAACACTGTAGTTTTAAAGGCTAGATGAAAACTAATTTTATCAGGCATTATATACAATCTTATCAGGCATTATACACAATTGCCTAGTTTACTGTTCCATCTGACTTGCTATACTCTTGAAATGTCATTTGAAAATTTTATTTAGCAATAAAAATATTACATAGTTTTTTGCTTATAAGTAGTAAATTAAGCTCTTTTCAATGTGGAGAAATGAAAAGAAGGTCTATCAGTCTTTGTCTTGGATCCAATCTAAAAATGCTTTTTAAATTTTTTAGGCCACCAATGTTATTTTGAAAATGAAACAAATGAACATTTGAAAAATGTTCTATATGCAAATTATAGATTAAATGCTTATAAAAAAATGTTGAGGGGCACCTGGATGGCTCAGTTGGTTAAGTGTCTGCCTTTGGCTCAGGTCATGATCTCAGAGTCCTGGGATCAAGTTCCTCATCTGGCTCCCTGCTCATCAGGGAGTCTGCTTGTCCCTCTGCCTCTGCCCCTCCCCCCCCAGTTCCTGCACACAGGTTCTTTCTTTGTCTCTTTCTCTCTTCTCTCAAATAAAATCTTTGTAAAAAATGCTGAGTGTCTGTAAGGTATGTGTAATAGGGACAGAACTGCCTGTTGGTATGCTCAAGGAATAATGGAAGTAGATAAATCATGTAAATGAGATACCCTGCACTGTGGAAGTCTACAAAACAAAGGTCATCTTAATTTTTTACTAGAATGGTTTCCAGGAAGTCTAGAAACACAACTGATTTTGGAGCTCCGAAAATGTTTTCCAATTAAGCTGACCCTTGAATAACATGGGTTGACCTTTGAATAACACAGGTTTGAACTACACAGGTCTACTTATATGCTAATTTTTTTCAATAAATATATTGGAAATTTTTTTGGAGATTTGCAACAATTTGAAAAAACTCACAGAAGGCCCTCACAGCCTAGAAATACTGAAAAATTAAGAAAAAAGTATGTCATGTGCATAAAATATACACAAATCTATTATAAAAAGTTAAGATTCATCAAAATTTATACACAGACTATATATGGCACCATCTGCAGTCGAAATGTAAACAAATGTAAAGATGGAGGATTAAATAACTGTGTAAAATTAAATATAGTACTATTGTAATAATCTTGTAGCCACCACCTGTTGTTTTGGGGTGAGCTCAAGTATTGTATTGCTTAAAACACTGTGTGACATTAATCCTCTCCACATGAGTAGTTCGTCTCTCCAGTAAATTATGTATTGCAATAAAAAAGTGACCTCTTGCAGTTCTCACATATTTTTCTGGTGTTTAGTGCAATACCATAAACTTTTGAAAAACATCAAGGGACCCATACAAAGTGCTGCTAGTAATGTTCAAGTGCTCCCAAGAAGCAGAGTAATGACATTACAAGAAAAAATTGAATTGCTTGGTATGTACTGTAGATGAGGTGATTTCAAGATAAGTGAATCCAGTGTAAGGGCCATTGTAAAAAAAAGAAAAGGAAATTTGTGAAGCCATCACTGCAGTTAGGCTAGCAGGTATGAAAACCTTGAACTTTTTATCTTGTGTTGAAAATGCAACTTTTACGTGACTGTAAGAATGCTGTAAGAAAGGCATGCCTATAGACTCTAATACAATTCAAGAAAAAGCAAAATCATTGTATGACAATTTAGAGCGAAGGAAAGGTAAAGGGTCCAAAGCTGGAGAATTTAATGCCAACAAAGGATGGACTGATAATTTTAGAAATAGGTTTGTACTAAAAAATGTCAAGGTAACCAAGAAGCAGCAGACAGTTCAGGGACGCCATTAAGAAAATCACTAAGGAGAAAGGATTATCTGCCTGGACAGGTTTTTAATACAACAAAAATGTCCTATTCTGGACAAAAATACCCCAAAGCAATTTATTTTTATGACATGGACCCTTCATGATATGGGCACTGAACCTAAAGCAAATGGTGGAAGAAGGATTGGTACCGTATTAAAACATTTTTAAAGAAATACAAAAGCAAAAAAAAAAAAAAATCACAGAAATTGTGATGTATTTTCCTAAAATTATACCAAATGTACCTGCCTCTCCTGTCTCCCCTTCCACCTCCTCCAGCCTTTCTGCCTCTGCCACCCTTCAGACAGCAAGACCAACACCTCCTCTTTCTCAGCCTACTCAGTGAGAAGACAAGGATGAAGACCTTTATGACAATCCACTTCCACTTAACAAATAATCATGCCGTACAGTTAATAAACTTATCTTTTGAGTGTTTCCATGTGAAAATCTAGTAACGTATGACAAGAACTGGATGAGACATTTATGTGTCACCATCATCACCTAAGTACCGATCATATAGAACATCATGTGCAAGATCTGTATGGAAGTGGACAGACTATCCTAACATGGGTGTAAGGTAATATTTAATATAAACTTCATAATGTGTTAGTTTTCTGTTTTATAACTTTGCTTTCAAAGAATAACATCACCATACAGTGTGCCCTTCTCTCTAGTAAATGAAGAAGGTGCACAGCAGCCCATCATCACAGGTAAGTGGTTTTTAAAAAAATATAACATTGTTTCCAATACTGTATTGTGAATATGACTAGAATATTGTTTGCCATAAAAATTTTTATAATGATTCATTCATTAGCGTTTAGGCAAAGCTACCATAAAGCATTCATCTTGCTACTGCTTCCTTTTTGATGCATGAATTATTATACCTGTAAATGAATAGGAATTTTTCACATTATCTTTTCATTTTTGATATCTGGTGTTAGTTATGCATATAACATATACAGTATTTTGTGTAAGACAATATTGATGTAGGTACTGACAGACAATTCATCTTAAACAGATGATACAGACTGACAGTATCAATAAAATCTGGTACTGTAAATGTATTTTCTCTTATGATTTTCTTAACATTTTCTTTTCTCTAGTTTATTGTAAGAATACAGTATATAGTATATATAACATACAAAATATGTGTTAAGTTTACTGCTTAGCTTATCAGTAAGGCTTCCAGTCAACAGGCTATTACTAGTTAAGTTTTGGGAAAGTCAAAAGTTATATATGGATTTTTAGCTGCACTGGGGTGGGGGAGGGAGGCGGGGTCAGTGCCCCTAACCCCTGCATTATTCAAGGGTCAACTTTATTCTAGAGTTCAAACTACTTTCCTAATATGAGGCAGACTTAGTTCTTTAATCAAATGTATAGGCTATTTTAATCAAAGTTAATTTTCAAAGCTAAATTCTCAACCCTACTTACAATGGATTTTTTTTGAACTTTCAATATTTGCACATCACTTAATGGCATGCTTCATTTCAATATATGGATTTTCCTACAAATTATTATAACTTCAAGTGTATGACATACATACCTGAGGTAAACCAGCACCTGTTTGCATAGAAGACTTTTTTAACAGTCTCACTTCTTTGTTTATGTATCTTAGCATTCCACTGAGAGTACTGAAGTCATTACTCTCAGAACTATCATCTTCTGGGTCATACGTGAGAGGTTTAAATGAGTCTGACTGGGTGTAAGTCAGATCCTTCTGGCTTTCTTCTAATGTTGAAGGCTGTTCTAACTGCATTTTTTTTAAGTCCTGTAGTAATTCTTCAGAAAGATCTTCATCACTACGTGTCTTGACACTAAGGTCACTGGCACTAATAGAGCGACGTAGCTTTCTACACTTGAAAAAGGCTGTGTGAGAATGTTTAGCAAATTTTGGATCTTGAATGTCAGGCATAATTTCTGTTGCAGATGTAAGCAGGGCTGGTAGAAACTTGATGTCTTCTGTCCTTTCACACCCAGAAATTTTGGCTTGTAATCTGGTTAATTCTGATTCCTATAGAAAAATAGGCACATAGTAGGTATTCAGTACATTTTTGTTAAATGAATAAGTTACTTAGATGTCATCCAAGAGTTCATGATTTTCTAAGTCAACCTTCTGCCCAGAACACAAATTCCTTTTAAAACATCCCATGAGACTCCAAGCTCTGTTTAAATCCTTCATTTTGGGACAATTACATATGTTCACTGGAAATATGTTAAAACTATGCTAAGGAATCCCATGAAAACTAGATTTACCTTACACCAATTTTTTCTTTTTAAGTGCTAATGATAGCACTTTCTAGTAATTTATATTTAAGACTGAAATCTTACATCTAAAAATTTCTTTTCAAAGTATAATGGTACACTGTCTTTTGCTAATCTAACGTATATGTACATACAAAAAAACTACTCCCTTCAGAATTTTTAATAGGAAATAAATTTATATTAACTATTATGCTTCACATGTCCTCTTTACAAGAAAGCTTCATTACACCAGAAATTTTTCAAAGAAAAACCTTTCAAAAAGTGATTTAGTAAGGATTGACTTATTAAACTTTTCATTCCTACTATTTTTCCACGTCCTTCATATGGGTCCTCTGACCCAACTTTGGGATCATAAGAATGAGACTGCATATACTGAAAAACCATAAAGCCTAAAAAAATGAAGAGAAGACATACATTAAATAATGTGTAATAGTCTTCTGTTCAAATACATTTTCTGTTTCTTATAGGTATCCATAAAATATATATTTCTAGATCACTTTTAATCTAATAATATCTATTCTTTCTAAAAATACTGTGCTTACTAAAACTGTCATAACCACAGAATACATTACAAAATGAAAGTTTAACATGCTTATTTCACTTCTTTGATATCTACTACTTTATCTAAATGTTATTTACAAGCAGCTAGAGTGCCAACTTTTGTAGTAAATCTTGTATTTACATTCTGATAATCACAATAAAGTAGCTATAGAGTTAACACACACAAGGTTATGTGCAGTTGAAATATTTTTTAACTCTAGCCACAGAGTTATCTAGCCATAATTGAGAATTGTGGTATCTTAGATAAATAGGAGTCCATGTAACTTTCAGTTTAACACTTAGCTTTTATAATGAAATGTAGTATACTGAATACGTTAAACAGAATTCAACTTTTTCTTAAGACTTGAAGAATTTCACTGTTGTGGTCACTACTATAATAGTGTGCCATAATATAGTAATGCCTTTAGGGCTCTCAGCAACTGGTCTAAGCTTTGCCCTTGCTCTAGTTAACCTCAAATAACAGGGTATTTGTGAGGGTACTAAAGGAAGTGAGCTGGAAAGATCAGTTGCCTCAAACACTGTTCTTTCTTCTCCCTCACTTCTGTTTCTGTTCTCTGTCATTTACTGCTGCTGTCAGTGGAATTGCTGTCCATCATTTATAGCTACTTCTAATTGTTATAGTTATGCCAACTTCTGCTCTTCTGTTAGCTTTTTTTTCTTCTATCCTCCTTAACTCTTCTTCAGTCTAGACTTTAGAGCCAGTTAGTACTGACTTTGAGAATTACTGTCAAAAACTTCTGAATAATTAAGTGCAATCCAATTCTATTTATTTCATTAGTAATAATTAACAAGTGAGCAGAGATAACTATAACAAGGAATACACAATGCAGAATCTTTAAAATTTTAGTCAATTTTTCACGGTGAAGTTCTATAATTTTATATAAATGTTGTAAATCTCCAGAACACTAGGTATATTTATGTCTCTAAAAAAGCATATAGTGTTTGTTTGATCTAATTTTAGATTATGTCCAGTGGCGCCTGGCTGGCTCAGACAGTGTAGCACGTGATTCTTGATGTCAGGGTTGCCAGTTCGAGCCCCATGTTGGGTGGAGAGATTACTTAAAAATAAAATCTTAAAAAAAAAGATTCTGTATATTCAGCTTTCCTTACTGTGAATAACAGGTATATTATAAAAGGAATTTGAGTGCTCAGCTTAGTAACTAGAAATATTTCTAAAATATTATTTGAATTTTTTTGCTTTTTAATTTCCATTTTGTAATAAAATCATTTATTGCTTCATAGCGAACAGTGAACTTTTTTGTAAGGTCTTAGCTAGCAATGTTAATCTCATACATATTGGTAGTTTTGAACTAATATTAAAACTTTTTATCTCTATGCATCAGTACTGATATTAATTCCAAATTCTACATTAAACTGCCATAATCAATAGGAGTGAATCAGTAGCAATGGGCTATTATTTGAACAGTAATGTACAGTAAATTTTTTAAAATACAAAGGAACTTTGTTCAATGAAAAATGCTCCTACTTGTAGGTACATTAAGTGTGGAACCCTCTAAAGTAAACATAATTAAGTCTGTATTTGAATAAGTTCTAGTCTGAGATGGTGACAGAGGTGATTCCTCCCATGACACACTGAATCTACAGCTACACATGGAGCAATTCCCTCTCAAAGAAGCTAGTTGAGCAACACCTACACATTGGGTTAATGATACCTACAAAAGGGCCATTCAGTGGGAGAAACACTTGACTCCCAGCTTCTCCCTGAGGAGTGAAGGGTTTGGGTCCCACATCAAACACCCCAACTTTTAAATACTGCCACTTGAGGGATGGGTGCCAAAAACCTCCCTCTAGAAAGCTAAGAGGACTTGTATTCATGAGACCTACAAGACTAAACAAAAAAACCCAGTTCTTAATGGGCTCACAACAATGTGGTATACAGGGGAATATGTTCCATACAAAAGAATAAGGTGAAACCCTAAAAAACAGAAATTCATGAGACACAGCGTGATTTACCTGACAAAGAGTTCAAAATAACAGTTATAAAGATGCTCACCAAAGTTAGAACAATGCATGAATAAAGTGAGAATTTCAACAAAGAGACAGAAAATACAAGTACCAAAGAGAAATCGCAGAGTGAAAATACAATAGCTAAACTGGAAAATTCAACAAAGAGCTTCAACAGCAGACTAGATCAAAGAGAAGAAAGGATCAGAGGACTCAAAGGGCAGTAGAATTCAATCACAGAAGCAGAAAGAAAAAAATGAAAAAGGGTGAAACTAGCCTAAGGGACTAATGGGACACCATCAAGAGGACAAACATACACATTATAGGGGTCCCAGAAGAAGAGAGAAAGGAGCACAAAGTTTATTTAAAGAAATAATGGCCAAAAACTTCTTTAACTTGAGAAAAGAAATAAACATCCAGATCCAGGAAGCCCAGTGAATTCCAGATATGATGCATCCAGAGACCCAAACTGAAACACTTTATAATTAAATTGTCAAAAATCAAAGACAAAGAGAAAATCTTAAAAGCAGCAAGAGAAAAACTACTTCTTATGTATAAGGAAACCCTTATGGACGATCAACAGAAAATCTGCAGGCAAGAAGAGAGTGGCATGATATATTAAAAGTGCCGAAAGGAAAAAACAGAAACAAAACAAACCTGCCAACCAAGAATACTCTTCCTGGCAAAGTCCTTCAGAATTAAAGGATAAAGAGTTTTCCAGACAAGGAAAAGTTGAAGGAATTCATCTCCACTAAACTGGCCTTACACTAAATTTTAAAGGGACTTCTTCAAGCTGAAATTAAAAAAAAAAAAATGCTAAATAGTAACAGGAAAACATATGAAAGTTTCAACCTCATTGGTAAAGGTAAATATATAGTTAAATTGAGAACACTCTAATGTTTGAATTATAGTGGGTAAATCACTATAACTCTAATATAAATGGTTAAAAGACATAGGGGGGAGTTCCCAGGAAGATGGAGGAGGATCCTAAAGCTCACCTCATCGCATGGATACAACTGGATAACACACACATCAGTGTAACTAATCCAGAAAATGATCTAAGACTAGCGGAACAGACTCTCCAGTGCTAAATGTAGAGAAGAGGCCATATAGAAGAGGGCAGGAAAGAGGGAGACGCAGTTGGGAGCCAAAAGGACTAGAGGGATTGTCTGCAGGAGGGAAGGACACTGTGGGCATGGAGAAGGGAGAAGAACACACCCCATGCTAGAACTCCAGGCATGAGGACCTGCACTGGGAAGATAAATTCCTTTAATATTTGGCTTTAAAAACCTTAGGGATCCAACTCCATGAGTTCTTACAATCAGTGGGGCTTACAACCTGGAACTTTAAAAATCAGCAGGCTGGGCTCTGGGCGAGCTGGAAGGGTGGAGTTCCCACCCTTAGAGCAACAAACAGCCCCATGGAGATCAGCTTGCTAACAATGTGCCCTGTCCCTCTCCTCTGTCCTCCTGCGGACTCGCCCTATCCAACCTAGCCTGGGCAAGAGTTTTCAAAGTGGATCCAAGTCCCTTGCCGTAGCAGACTAGCAAATACCTTGCTAACACCGTGCACCCTACTGCTGTGTTCTCCTGCAGACCTGCCTTTGACAGGAGTCCATCCAAAATGGTGGCACAGGTTAGCTGTCTGAAAGCAGCCATGATAAGGGGTCACCATCACTCCAAAGTGACTCCTGGCCCAGGAAGAGGGGAAGATAACCACAAACCAGCACAATTGTGGTCCCAGCAGTGGGGTGGGGGCAGACATCTGGTCTGACTGCAGGCCTCACCCACCAACAAAAGCTTCTCAGGGGGACAACACAGGGAGAACACCCTGCAAATCAGGGCTACCACAGCTCTGGCAAATGCCTCGTCTGACTGGCCGACTAACAACACAGGGACCAAATTCGGCAGAATTTGGTAACAACAGGCAACAGGCAAAGAGAGCCATTGCAGATGACTGGACTGAAGGCAAACGCAGCTCAGCCACAATAGTAGGGCACATATAACACACCCCTGAAGCATGAGGTTCTGGTGAATAGGGGATATTGCAGTGCAGGGCACTACAGAATCTCTTTTCATTAGGCTGTGACTTTCAAGATCAGAAGACATAGCTGACATTCCTAACAGAGACAGAGACAGACAAAATGAGGTGGCAGAGGACTTTATCTCAAATGAAAGAATAGGACAAAATCACAGCAAGAGAGCTTAATGAAACAGATAATAT